AGACCGCGTTGATCAACGACGGGAGAGTCCATTATATATATATATATATATATATATATATATATGTGTGTGTGTGTGTGTGTGTGTGTGTGTGTGTGTGTGTGTGTGTGTGTAGATAGATAGATAGATAGATAGATAGATAGATAGATAGATAGATAGATAATAAATCAAGAGGAAAACCTCAAAAATCCACTTTGGTTATAATTTATTTCGTAAATATCTCTATATATTCGTCTCTTCAGACCTAAAGCTTTTAATAATTGGAGATAATTTCCCCACCTCCTGACTGATATACTCGTTTGACAGGGGGAAGGGAAAGTGTTATGATCTTGGTTAGGACCAAGGAAGAGGATCACAAACACAAGAGTAGAAATAACGAAGGTATATTACACGAAATAATAATACAAGATGTGGAAGGTGTTAGTATGACTGTCAGTCTGGTTTGGAATGAACTACTATTGGCTCGATTCGATTCGGTATCTAGCCACCCCACCCCACGAGGGTTGCATGTGGCTCAAGGCCGAGTTTAACGTGGGTTTCCAGAGCCCATAGGCTCAGCCAAAAGATGCCCGTAGAACCCGTATAAACAGGATCGGGTTGGTCAACCTCCCCGAACGAGACTGCCCTTCGGCGTAGCTTCGTCCGGATTCCTCTCTGCTCAGAGGCAGAGAGTTCGACCGTCAAGCCGAGAAGCTCGGCTTGATTGGACCCTCTCTCTTGAGAGGCGTAGTATACATAGTGTTAGGAAGAGTTCATTCTGTAGTTATAGGTAAGGACCCTTGACAGAAAGCAAGAGAGAAGAAAAGAAAGAGAGAGAGAGACGAAGAAGTCCAGAGAACGGTTTAACGAAAATGGTTGACTATTGGGACTTCACTGGATAGGATCCAATAATTAACTCCATACATAATCCCGTGCGCAGGACAAAATGACGAAGGGACAAAATGCCCCAAAAAGTGCCAAACGGAAAAAGAATCGAGCTGACTAAATGACGAAAATCTACTTATCCGTATGTATGGCAGAATATGGCAGAAGGCCTTGCTTAGGATGGTATTAGAAATAAAAATTACTCAGTTCCCAGAGGTCCATCTCTTTTGGGACACTTCAGGATCCAGGGATTGTGCCTACCATTCCGTCTTGAAATGCAATGGGAGTGGTTCTGACTAGGATACTACCCTGTACCAGAGCATTTTATAATTATTATTATTATTATTTAACTAGGTTAGGGTTTTAGGAATTTGAAAAAAAAAAACAAATAATCATAAATTCCAAGCCCAGTCCACTCCTTGTGAAGCTCACCCACATTCTTAAATCGGCTTTCCTTGACAATCCTCTCAAGGGTGTAGCTACTCGCATGCATCTACCCACTTTTCTACTATACTTTTCCTTTCCAGTAAACTTATGAATATGCATTGATACAGCCTTCTGCGAACAGTGAATCCTTTCAGCAATGACATTTGTGGATTACTCTGCACAAAGAGGGTGCCACTGATGGCTCGGGAATGCCCACGTTAAAAAGGCCTTGTGCCACATGACACCCTCGTGGGGGGGGTGGCTGAATATCGTCAGTAAAACTGTCTTGTCAGCTGTCTTCTTCATGACCATGGTCGTGTATACAGAACAAGACTAACAGATTCATAGAATTTATACTACATAAATAGTGATTTAACTCAAATTCAAAATGGAATATATCAATATTTTTTATTTGCATTTTTGTTGTTTTTAGTTGTATACCATAATTATAAAAATTCCAAGACCTTGATTTCCAATGAAATGCAAAATTTACTTTCATCTGAAAAGAAGAATTTTTGACCGAGGAGCAAAGATCCATTGTTTTTTCTTAACCCAGTTAAGACACTTTTTACATTGTCTCTTGTTTAGGAATGTCTTGATACTTAGAATGTGACTCTTGCAGTCGATTTCCTGATATGTTGGCTTGTGATGGACTGACTCTAGCCTCAGTCCATTCCTAATGAAACTGATCTAATGAATATGCATACACCTGTGTTCCCCCCTCACAGGAATATGACTGGCTGGTGTCAGGCTGGTGTAGAGGTACAGGACGATGCCTATTGGACTACGCCATTGGCTATCCTATTGGTCTATGCCTATTGCCTACACCTATTGACTGCGACTACAACAAGTACCAGTTCCGTTACTGCTACCTGCTAGATTGTTCTACTCGGTTACAGTAGCCTAAACCACTTAGCTACTTTGATCAAATACATCCATTTCTGGGACATATCAGAAACTCTCCTATGAAATTCTCTTTGCTTGATAATTCTACTGAGGCTATACTCATCCCACCTTGCTTTGACCTTTTTCTACCACAGCTTTTCCTTCCAGTTAACTTTCCATTAATATCCTTTGAGACAACACTCTGCGAAAAGACAATTCTTTCAGAAATTACCTTATTGCGGAGGGCATCAATGAGTGCCTTTTGGACAACTGCAAAGTCAACAGACTCTGCCATGATAGTGATTGTGTGTATTGACCAAGGCTGATAGATTCATAGTTTTTGTACTGCATAAATAGGGATTTACTTGAAATAATATATTCTAATATTTTGAGCAAAGTTTTTCTATTTTTTTAAGTTGTAGGCCGAAATTATAAAAATACATGAAATATTTTATTTTCCATGTAATGAGCCTAGAATATATTGATTATCTAAGCGTAGAGTAGATGCGACACAAGGCCGAAACTGTGGAGCACCCAGTGAGGGTCGAACTCACTACTCAGGCGTAATTGCTCTCGCCAGACAAGTTGGCTAATCATTACATCACATGGAAGCGCCCAATGAGCTTAGAATATAAACAATTTTTACTTTCTGAAATTACTAACGAAAAAAGAATTGAAATCTTCCAGTAATTTAGATAATTTTGTAGTTTGTCTTAAGAGGCCGCTCTTTTCTTTGTTGTTATAAAGCTAATCATAGACACGACGTTTCAGCCTCTGGCCATCTTCCTGGATTCATCATTTGACTGATATGAGATATCAGCTGTTTATTTCTCTGCGATGCTAGTCAGTAGCGTGCAGAAATGGCAGTGGGGGGGGGGGTAACGGCCCCGGGCATCCATATCGGGATGGCGTCCAATCAAAGAGTAAAATAAAAATTTAGTTTATATTTAATTTGAATAAAGTGTTTATTTCATGTTTCATCTGTTGTTTGTTGTTTTTTTTTACATATTTAAAATGCCTTCATTTCTCACATTTCACAGTACCAGGTCCTAAAGTGCTCAATAATTGAGTCTTTGGGACATACAATCAAGGAGTTGGCCCCGGACTTCACTAAATGTCTGTACGTCACTGATGCCAGTTATTGTTCGTTCCTGATGAATTAAATTGTCGAACTGAGCTCGCGAGCACAAGATGGCGTAACATAAGTCTAACCAACTTATGTATCCTCTACGCCATCGCTTCGAAGCACATCATCAGTGTGCTTTTGAAGGCTTTCTATTCAATGCCAGATATTTCGACATTTTGCTTACGGTCATACCACGTTGAATCACCGGTAACCGTAAGACCATCGAACTTAAGAAACGTCAAGCCTGATCAGTACCTAGATGGGTAATTGCTGTATGCTTGAATATGTGAGTGGTGTAATGGATAATGGCTAGAAATTGGTAATCGGAGAGCCGAGTTCCAATACCAATCAGGTTCGTTATATTCACTTACACGAAAATACCCTTGGGAAAAAAGTATGAATCCACCTCTTCTCCCCGCGCTATGGGTTAATTAGTAAGATTTGTATCACTAAATTATTATTGGTATGAATCCACCTCTCCTCCACCCAGACTTTTATCACTAAATCATTATTATCTAAAAAAAAAAATGAATTTAAAAATATTTTCTGGCTTTAAATAACCCGCAAATGATTAATAAGCAATAAAAAAAAAACGAATCACTCAATGTTTCCACATTTAGTTATAAGTTATTTCCCAAGTGTAGCATAGATGTGACACAAAGACAGGAAATTTTGGGGAGCTATGATCGTCAACGTCCTGAAGGGACACGGTGCGTAGAAGAAGAATATTTCAATTATTATTCCTCAATATTATATTACTTTTAGATGTACCTGTATAAAGATAATATGAACGTTTAATGGTTTATATATATCTCCCTCTCTCTTTCCCGCTCTCTCTCCTTCACTCTTACCCTCCCTCCTACCCTTATCATAGAGCAACCAGTGAGGATCGAACTCACTACTTAGTCTTGATTGATCTAGCGAGACAAGCTTCCTAACCATTACACCACCTCGAGGCGCGCATGACATTTGGTCATAATGTCAGGTTAGTACCGCTTTTCATAATTTACATACTTTTATATTTCAACTTGAAGTGAGCAATTGTCAGTATCCTTTAATACTTTGAACCATTGTCCTCATCTTGGTTCTAATAAATATTATTACTGAAATGACGTTTCGGCTAAGTACACGCTAGCCATCGTCAGTATTAGGCTGATATGGGATATCTGTTGATAATTGTAATTTTTGAGCCTGTGATACGTAATATCAGTCTTCCTATATGGCTGTGAATGCTGAACAATCTCCTCACAGGTGAAGAAGATACTTAAAGCAACACAAATGTGGTTATACAGGAGGATACTGAGAATACCATGGACCGACCATGCGAGCAACGACAAAGTTTTAGAGAAATTGGAAACAAAAAGGACGCTTATACTTAGCACCAGAAACAAACAGTTGATATTTCTATGGCATATAATGAAGAAAGAGGGCTTGGAAAATTTAATACTCACAGGTCAGATTGAAAGCAAAAAGATAGAGGGAAAAGCGCATAATATACCTAGTGAGCTTGTGTAAGTGGATGGAGGGATAAGAAAAAGACAAAAGTTATTAAGAGCTACAAAGGACAGGAAATTGTGGAGAGTTATGATCGTCAACGTCTTGAAGGGACACGGTACGTAGAAGAAGACTATTTCAGTTATTATTCCACAATATTCTATTACTTTTAGATGTACCTGTATAAAGCTAATATGAACGTTTAATGGTTTATATATATATATATATATCCCTCCCTCTCTCTCTCTCTCTTTCCCGCTCTCTCTCCCCCTTTCACTCTTACCCTCCCTCTCTATCTCTTTCTCGCTCCTATCTCCTCTCTCTCTTCCTCCATCTCTTCCTCCCTCTCTCTCCATCCCTCTCTCTTCCTCTTGCTCCTACTCTCCCTATCTTTTTCCCTCCCTCTTCTCCCTTCGTCTCTCCTTCCCTCTCTTTCCTACTCTCTCTCCCTCTTGCTTCTATCTTCCCTTTCTCTCTCTTGCTTGCTCTCTCTCTCTCTTCATATCGCTCCTACCCTCTCTCTCTACCCTCTCTCTCCCTCTCGCTCCTACCCTCTCTCTCTCCTTCTTTCTCTTCCTCTCGCGCCTACTCTTTCTCCCTTCCTCCCTCTCTCTCCTCTCCATCTCTCTCTCCTTCTTCCTCTCTCTCCTTCTCGCTCCTACCCTCTCTCTCCCTCATTCTCTCTGTGACTTCTTAAAGTGCCTTGTGACTTTTTACAACTATTGATTTTATTCAGATGCCTGTTTATCTCCGGTTCGATTTCTTATTCTGTCAACACTTTTTCTCTTGCCTCAAAAGAAAAAGAAATCGAGAGAAAAAGTGTTGACATTTTCATGAAAAAAAAAAAAAAAAACACATTCCTACGCATGCTGTACACTTTCTATTAAATCCATACAGCAAGTGTGAAGTACTTACTCCGTCATTTTATGTGATAACAACGAAACGTTCAATACCATTGTGTGTAATGTTTAAATCCCGCCATAATATTGATTTTGATTAGGGAAGGCATTAGAAACTTCTTTATTTTTATGACTACATGACAGATTACATTGGTGAGAAAGACATTAAATGATTAGGATCCGTTTACATGATTCAAGAAAAAAGTGTCAAGTCTCCAAACAATCAATGCCTCTTTTGTAAAAAGCGATCTCAAATTTCTGGTTAAAATTAGTTTGCTTAAAAATAACACAGTCGATAGCTAGACGCTGTGTATAAAATTGGAAAAAAAAAAGATATTTCTTTTTTGCTTTCTCTCTGTTCGTCAATAGAAAAAAATGTTGAAGAGCAATTCTGTTCGCAAATAAAATCATCACACATTGATAATTTCTATTTTGTTATATTCAACGATTTCTGAACACTTCTGTCTACCCAATTTCACTTATAAGACTTGGGTCAACGCTTGGTATGATTTTTAGGCAGCTTCCAAATGTTTACACTTTTTACATTTTCGGACTATAGTCCTCAACTCTATTGTCATATTCATGACGTTTCAGCAGTTGTACGCACAGGCCTTCTTCAGATGATATACGTTGGCCTGATGAGTAAAGGAGACATGTCCAGTGGATAAAAATTGGTTGAATACAGTAACTTGACTCAAGGAGTTGTGAGTTCAATACTACAGCAAATGTGAAGAAAAACTTGAAGAGTTGAGTTATTAAAGGGAGATAACTGAAACAGAAATATCCGGAAGAGGCATGGCACGTGGAGCTATCAGGTCATCCCATAAGTTCTGTCCGAATTTTAACAAAATTTAAAGAGTATTTTATAATGTCTAATGGACATTATTTTTATGTTTAGATGCATTTAAACTAATCAAATTTTATTTCAGAGAATAATAAAATTAAATTTTGTTTGATTAAACCCTGCTAAAATGGAAGTACCCAAGAATCATTTGAGGCATAATAATGCTTTATGAGTTCAAGAAAGGAAACTCAGCAGCCGAAGGGCTAGAAACATTCACTCAGTTTATGGAGAGGAATGTGAATGAAAGAACTTGCAGAAGATGGTTTGCAAAATTCAGAGGTGGAGATTTCACCCTTGAAGATGAAGATCGAACCGGAAGTCCAGTTGAGTTTGATGAAAAGCTTCTTGAAGCAGCCCTTGAAGAAAATCCTGCTTTATCAGTTGAGGAAATGGCAGTGGTTCTCAGTTCAAACCATACAACTGTTCATCGGCATCTTCAACAACTTGGAAAAGTTCCTAAACTTGGAAAATGGGTGCCTCATGAATTGTCTGAAAACAACCACAAATCCAGAGTTGACATCTGCTCTTCTCTCTATTCTCGCCAACTTGTTTCACCTTTTTTGGATAGACTTGTGACTGGCGACGAAAAATGGATCTTTTATCGAAATGTTAAGCGTCGTAGACAGTGGCTTGGTAAAGGGGAAGGACTCCAGCCACAGCTGAGCAGGGAACATCATGGGCAAAAGGTTCTTCTTTCAATCTAGTGGGATCGCCAAGGAATAATCCACTTTGAATTCTTACCACCGAATGCATCAATTAAAGCTCAAATATACTGTCAGCAATTAGAGCGTTTGAACCAAGCTTTGAGGAAAAAAACCTGCTCTAGTGAATCAAAAAGAGGTGATGTTTCATCAGGACAATGCGCGACCCCACACAGCAAGAATCAAGTCACAAAAGATCGAAAAACTTGGTTGGGAGAAAATTCCTCATCCACCTTATTCTACCGATCTTGCTCCTTCAGACTACCATTTGTTTCGTAGCTTACAGAATCATTTAGAAGAAACAGCTTTTGTAACACAAGAAGAGGTTAAAACTGACATTTGTGAGTTCTTCGAATCAAAGCCAAAAGAATTTTACAGTAATGGAATTAGTAAGCTTGTTAATAGATGGAAGGAAGTCATAGACAATCAGGGAAAATACATTGTTGATTGAATCTGTGATTAAATGTAACATTTGGTCACTTGTTTTCTTTATTCAAAATTCGGACAGAACTTATGAGATGACCTTATAGAACAAGCTACATCAGTGGACGAAATAAAGGGTTGGCTCGAAATTCTAAAGTATATCACCTGAAGAAAGTCGGAGCGTACAACGACTGAAAGGTCGTAAAAAGGGCAATAAAAACGAGAACAATATGTAAAAATATTAAACAGTTATAAAACCTCATCTCAGAAATATAGTTAGATATCTTTCACATGTATCGAAATACGAGGACGTGAGGTTTGGTGTGTACCATAAGATATTTTATCACACCTAAAAACACCATTCGCCCAAAGAGGCCGACTCGAATTTTTGGCCATGCGGGCATAGATACATTGTTTTATTTTAATTCATACGTATCTACATATATATATATATATATACATAGCAATGAGTCTAGAAGGATCCTCAAGAGAATGCACTGGACGCCCGTTTCGTCCTATGCGGGACTCATCAGCAGTGTGCATCAGCTACCGAGAATCGAACCCGGACCGTTTCAGTACAACGCAAACGTCATACCAACTGTACCACGAAGAAGACATAAATGAGTCTAGAAGCTATAAGCCTAAATCTCAAAAATTAATTATATATATATATATATATATATATATATATATATATATATATATATATATATATATATATATATATATATATATATATATATATATATATATATATATATATATATATATATATATATATATATATATATATATATATATATATATATATATATTCAGCACTTGAAGAGTGCGTTTGGCATGAAACTCGAGTAGAGTAATCAGTGTGGAATCTGTATATCATTATATATATATATATATATATATTCTTTAAAATCAGGGGGTCAATTAAATTACTTGGTTTCGACCAGACGGTCTATTCATGATATTTATAATAATGACCGCCTTAACGCTTTATTTAAAAAAACACAAAGAACGCTACATAATTATTGTTATTATTATTATTATTATTATATAGTAAACGTAACAAATCCGTTGGATCCTTGTAATATAAAATATTAAAACTGATCCACAAAAATTATAATAAATATAATTTTCACTGCCCAGTACAAGACTGTATTTCTTGTCATAAAGCAATTACCTATACCAGACATACGACAACCTCCTCAAGTAGAGTAAAGTGCTATAAAAAACGTCAACCCACAATCTGCAAGAACCCTTAAGAAAGATACTCGCTTTGTTTAACAATGCTATCGTATATTTATTTATTTTCATCTACTAACCTGAATATTTAAGATATCTTATTAAAGAACGTCCTTCTGGTCAGAGTGGACTGTTGTTAGATCCAAAGTACCTTAACCGACTCGGCCACGAAAAAGCTTAGCCGATCAAGCAAAATCTGAACCGTACCTGCACATATTTTCTTTAATAAGATTTCTCGAATATTCAAGCCGGAAAAATCCATCTACATATATATATACATAGCACACCTTAAGAGTATATATATATATATATATATATATATATATATATATATATATATATATATATATATATGTGCTGCTTGATAGAACTTCATCAGCGCCGATAGTTCGAAATAATGTGTGAATCTCTTTTATTAGGAAATGGCGTTTCAAACAGCATCTACTGCGTCTCATTTATATCAACTTAAGATGATAATTATAACATTAGCTTCAAAAAGTCATAATTATACTACCTCTAATTAATTAATTAATTAATTATTATTAGTATTATTATTAACAACAACAACAATAATAATAATGACTCAGAAAAGGATTATATTGTTAATAGCCTTGCTATCCCAGTGACTCAATATAATTTCAATATCTTGAAATGATATCAGATGAATGGATTCTAAGACAAACAAGCTTCTTTCCACACATAACACACATCACCCTGTTATAGTGGAACACACCTATTCTATTGTTAATAGACTCTCCCACCTATAATAAGTAGGAGTAGTAGCAGTCGCTAGAGTTGGTCAGTCAGTCGATGTCGGACGACTGTTAGTCGGATACTAAAGTATCAGCGACCACCACTAGATTTCTCTGCGTCATTACCTATTATATTAAGTTCCTAACGTTTTGTACGTCGAACCTATTTTAGGACCGACAGTACAAATACAAGCCTCCACTGTGAAACTACTCTACAACACTTGGCGATGAGGTATTCAGATTCATAAGGAGGAAGAAAAACATTCGTACTCCACAACACACCCAAAGGTTGATGTAGACCGTCTATACATAGCCTGTAAAGAAGGTGGAAGAAGTCTTATTCAGCTAGAATTATCGTACAAGACAACAACTATTGACTTACTAACATACATGGAAACAACAAAGAACTGGATGATACAATTAGTCAAACACGAAAACAAAAGGAAAATATATTCAAACATGAAAGAAGGTTGTAAGTACAAACGACATTTACATTTAGTAGATTCTGTAGAAAACCAAAACAGAAACCAATAACCAACTGAAATTATGATAAAGACGCAGAACCTGAAGAAATATAGTCCCAACACATGCCCTACCGACAATGTATAAGATTCTTACTTTTATCATAACCAAGAGAACGAGAGGACATACAACTTCCTTGAGAAAAAAACAATTTACTCCAAGCAGAAGAGAAGGGATGTAAAAGAAGAAGTTACAGGTGTAAGAACCAACTAATTATCAATAAAACAATATTGGAAAAGGTGAAAACAAAGAAAAGAAACGTATCGATAGCATGGATCGACTACAGAAAGACGTTCGACAGTGTACCACACTCA